ATTTTTTTTTTAAAGATATGAAAACGGAAAATAATTTTATTTTTTAAAAAGTAATATTTTTTGAACAATGAGTTAATTTATGTTAACAACCACAAAATAGGATTGCATATGTTCAGTTAGATCAAAAATTAAAATATCATAAATGAATCGCATATAAAACATAGATTATTTTGAATTAATTAAGAAAATTAGCTATTATTTTGAATTAATTTAGAAAATTCTTTTTCAATTTATAATTCTTTGGTTGTTGAAATAGAGATTTGTTTAAGCTAATCTAATTACAGAATTTGTTTGAGATTTATAATTACGGAATTTACCAATTATTCGCATAATCGAATATGTTATAAACATATATTTAGTATATAATAATACCAAAATCAACCCGTGCGTGGAGTCTATATTTTTATTTTAGAATCTCAATATTTCATTTTAAAATATTGTGTGCATAATCTATTATTCGTTAATTCTAAAATTGCTTGCGGAATCAAATTTTCAAATATTTAGAGGTGTCAAACCATATTTAAATGTTCTACATTATTTTTAAATATTTCAAATTAAAATCTTTAATTTTTTTTTGTAGTTTATAAAATTATGAATTTCAAAAAACAAATTATATGAAATTAAATATAACTATTCAAATAGTTATAAGGATCAAAACTCATTTCATCGTATAATATATTATATTTAACCCGCTACCTATTATAAATATTTTTAAAAATAATCAAATTAGAGCATTTATAATTTTTAACTTTTTGAACTATTAAGTATTAATGATATTCTCTAAAAATATCAAGTAAAACTTATTTTAAATGTTGCAAATTAAAATATTTAAATTTTTATTGTAGTATATAAAATTATACATTTCAAAAAAATAAATGTATGAAATCGAATATAAATATTCAAATTCTGACCCGTTGCTCAGTCGAAATTTTTGTTGACTTTATTTTTTTTGCTCAGTCGGAATTTTTGTTGACTTTATTTTTGTGTAAAAGAAATATATTACTCAACTCTCAATTTTTGACCCGTTTAATTGTTTCCTTTATAGATTAAACAATTTATATGCGTTTTTAAAAATTCAAATCTTGGCATATGCAGAAAAAGAATTACTTTTTTTTATTATGTAGATGATATGATTATTTATTTGTTTCATATTAATATAATCATATTAAGATGAGAGGTGAAGTTTAATGATTAATAACAAATTAATATGGTAAGTTAGATATCAAATCTTATATGTTCATTTTGATTGGTCATTTAAAAAAAATTAATAACAGATTTTCGTTTTATAATTTAATTAAATTAATTAAATAACATAAATTACTAATTTACTTGTTTATCCTTAATAAATTGAATGAAATTTGTTCTAAAAGAAGATTTTTGTAATGGCATTATTAAGTAAATTCTTACAAAAGAGAAGGTTAGTTAAGGGTATCTAATAAAGTGTACTCCCCAAATAATAGTATAGGATACTCGAAATTTTTTCATATGATGCTTTAAATTAAGATTTTTTTATTGTTTTGAAAGTAAAGTAAAGTACGTGATTTTCTCACAAAATTAACGCCAAAAAATTATTTACCCTTTATATTATTGAAATAATCTTTGAATAAAAAAACTCAAAACTCAATAGATAAGGAACTCCTATAATGGGGGAGGAAGGTTACAAATAGATATTACACACGTTTTCTTAACTTTTCCTCACAATCTTAAAAAATAATAAATAAATAACGAGGAGAATTTTATTAAACTGTGTTTTTCATCAAAAAAAAAGAAAAAGAATTTTATTAAACTGTGCCTTACTATTAATCTTCTAAATTTAACTTGTTTTAAAAATTATTTATTTTATTCTTTAATGTTTGTTTACAGCTCATCTTCATGGATAGTTTGGTTTGTTATCTTATAATGTATATATATATATATACCAAAGAAAATCGTATATTTTAATTGTATAGTTTCATTCCTAAGATTGTGTATCTATCTCTCCGAAAATTGTTCATGGCATTGTCCTTTGATACAGTGTTGATAAAAGTGTTTTTGCTTTGGTTTTGGAGCTAGATGATGTAGCCCTTTCTTTACGATATTTGGCTTGCACAAAACCATTGCACATTATTAAAAGACGTTGTCATCGTTGGTACGTACACTGTGACGATGTCATGGCCGTACACTCTCCATGCACAAGCATTTACTGTTTTCTCTTACCCGTTGGGTATTTGTAGGAAATATAAAGTATGTACAAACAATTTAGAATCTTGTCACTTTTAATTTTCTTTGATCATTTCAATATTATACCACTAACTCAGTATTTTTCTTTTTTCGATTTGTTAAAAAGTGTTAAATAAAAAAAAAAAGGTATATTTTTCCTACACATAGAAGAAGGCAGTGTTTGTTTTAACTTTTAAATAACAAAATAAAATTAAAAAACGTGATAAAATGGATATCTAATATAAAACGATCAATCAAATTAACTTTTCAATAATTTGAAAAAAAAAAAAAAGATGGTAGTACATCAAATTTCTTATGATCAGAAAAGCTTTTTTTGTTTTTTCCTTTATTCAACAACCAAGTAATTTACTAGCTGCAAGATAATATAGGTTCTTAAACTAGAACATAACCAATATCAACCCTAACAACAACTAAACAAATATTATAAATTTTAATGAACAAAAATCTTTTAAAAATTGGTCGATCTATTTTAAATCCTTCAAATAACAAAACTTTTCAAATATTCAATCGATGCATTTGAAACCTCTAGAGTACATTACCAAAACAAACTCCATCATTATTAGAGAAAAGTGAATCCTTAAAATAACTTTCACATGTTTTTTTTATTGTATATATTTTTTGATTCTATGCATCCTCTTTGATCTCATAATACATCAATCATCTATAATCCACTCTTCTAAGTAGACAATTTAAAGATGTATTTTTTCCGTTGTAAATAAGATAAGGTAAAAGAGTAAATGGATATGAAGACACTGTAACGCGAAATAAATAATAGAGCGACAACAAGTGTGGGTCCAACCTATACGTTTTCAGCGGCTTTATATTGTAAGTGAAACCGAGGCTTCTACCAAACACACAATTTCTTCAAAATCTCTCTGATTGAGACAAACTATAGTGCCAGAAAATAAAACTCTTTCTTCCAAAATCTCTCGCTCGTTTTATTTGTTTCTAGTCTCCTACACTACAGAAATTAGGTATTTGTTTCTTTAAAATTATTGTTGATATATATATATATATATATATATATATATTGTTGAATTTAGGGTGCGTATATCGTGTATAAACTTTGAGGGGTTAAATGAACACTAAACATTTTGATTAAAAAAAATTTCTTAGATATATAAAAAATGTGCCCGGATTTTCATATTTTTTTAATAGAATTAGCTAGCTAAACAAAAAAAAAAAAACTTAATATACAGAATTCAAAATGAGGAAAATGTTATCAAATTATAATGAAGGATGTGGGTTGATTCGAGACATAAAGCAAGTCTTTTGAATATAGTACATTGATTTTGTCTTCTTGCAAGAATCAGATTCCATCAATAATTCTGGTAGGGTATTTGAAAAAATAGTACCAAACAATTACTAGTCCTCTGTCTAAGCGTTTAACTTTTTATTTTTATTTGATTTAGTTCATAATTAATATTGCACAACCAAAAAAAAAAAACGAAAATAAATATACGAAATTATTACAGTTTTGTCGCTTTCTGAAACCTCCTTCTATTGTACTTTTGATTCAACGTGAACTGATGTTAAAAAACGATTTGAAAGAAGGTCCCATGACTATCTTTAATGTAATCGGTTCCAAATTATTACATTTATTTTATAATTTTTGTAAAGAAAAACGAACAAAGAAAGAAGAGTGAGTCATGTTAAATTTGGACCGTCTATTTTCTTCTCTTACGTACGATAACTCACATGGCCTTTTGATTCCTTTGAAGCAATCAATGACCTCTCTGTCTCTCATTTCCCAGCAATAATACGTTACCAATTATATAGGCCATTCCCATCAACATCAACATGAAATCTCCCGATGAATTTGATTTCACCGACTGCTCTAAATTTTGTTCATTTAGGTCGAGATTTCTCCGTGATCGAACGTTCTTCAAAACTTTTTGAAATAGGAGTTATAAAAACTGTAATAGATATATCGATCTCATGATCCTTTTTATGTAGGTGTACATTACTTTAAAACGATAAATCATATATTTCCAATATATTATATCGTCATATACATAGAGTTCATTTGCATAAATCATAGTCAATCGGTGGCTAAAATGTTCATATAATTTTCCATGAGACCCCACTATTTCAAACTTTAATTTTAGCACCTTGTAATTATAATGTTTTGAACCCAAAGCGGAAACCTAAAACAGAACAACGTGAACTGATTGAAAAAACTTTCTCTAAACAAAATAAAAATTTTGATTAAAAAAAAAAACTTTAAACGAAATAAAAATTTTGCTCAGATTTTCATTATTTTGTATAGAATTAACTTAACAAAAAAAAAAAAAAACTTAATATACAAAATTCAGAATAAGGGAAATATTGTTATTAAATTATAATGAAGGATGTGGGTTGATTTGAGACATATGCTACTTTGCGACAAAGCAAGTTAATTTTCATATAGTACATTGTTTTTTTGTCTTCTTACATGAATCAGACACCATAAATAATTTGGGTAGGTCTTGGTAGAAATAGTACCAAAAAATTACCAGTCCTCTGTCTAAGCTTTAAATATAATTATTGTTTTTTTTTAAATTTGATATTTTACAAATTTTATTTACAAAAATCAATCAGTGACCTCTCTGTCACTCATTTCCCAGCAATAATACGTTAGCAATATATAAGCCCTTCCCATCAACATCAACATGGAATCTCTCCATGAATTTGATTTCACCGAGACACCGACTGCTCGTTTCACAAACATTAATTGAGTTCTAAATTTTGTTCATTACATTTAGGTTGAGATTTCTCCGCGATTGAATGTTTTTCAAAACATTTTGAAATAATAGGAGTTATAAAAACTGTAATAGATATATCGATCTCATTGTCCTTGGCACAACTAGTTTAAAACAAAATCAAGAATAATTATAATATATATCACTTTCTTTGCCCCCAAAAAAAAAAAAAAAAAAGATCCGCATGCAGGAGCCATGCACTAATAGGAAGAAAAAAACGACACCAAGGAAGTGAACAATAAATTTCAGGTCTTGTTATGTTCCACGTCTTTTGTTGGGGATATTTAAGTTGTTCCATGACTTAATGCCTTGATGATCCTTTTTATGTAGGTGTACATTACTTTAAAACGATAAATCATATATTTTCAATATATTATAGCGTCATATACATAGAGTTCATTTGCATAAATCATAGTCAATCGGTGGCTAAAATGTTCATATAATTTTTCATGAGACCCCACTATTTCAAACTTGTAGCACCTTGTAATTATAATGTTTTGAACCCAAACCCGAAACCTAAAACAGAACAACGTGAACTGATGCTATTTGAAAGAAGGTCCCATGACTATCTTTAATGTAATCGGTTCCAAATTATTACATTTATTTTATTTATTTTTGTAAAGAAAAAAGAACAAAGAAAGAAGAGTGGGTCATGTTAAATTTGGACCGTCTATTTTCTTCTCTTACGTACGATAACTCACATGGCCTTTTGATTCCTTTGAAGCAATCAATGACCTCTCTTCTCCGATTTGATTCCTTTGAAGAGACGACTCTCTGGCCTTTATATAGATGTAATTGTAACCCTAAATTCTCAAGGTCTCCCATCCAAGTTCTCCGCCAAAATTTAAAAATTCCTACCATTATTGATTCTGCAGCCGTTTCTCCACTCACCATGGCCTCCAGCTCCAACCCCACCGGAGAATCTTCGAGAAGAATTGTCGGTAAGAGTTTTAATTTCTCTACCTCCTCCTGGATTTTCAATGATATATCAATATAGAGTTATAACTCTTCTGGGACGATTTCATTTTTATTACAGACGAGGAAGTATCCGTGTTGTGGGACCTCAACACTTGTCCGGTGACGGATCATTATTATCTGACCAAGATTGTTGACTCTATAGAAAACTCCTTAAACGACTTACATCGGAACAACCCCAAGCTTTATCCCAAATTGCGTCTGTCATCAACTAGGATTGTTTGTGGCGATAAAAAGAATTTTGGTACGACTGGTACACGTATCCTTAAAAATCAAGGTTTTGATCCATTTTATGCAGTTGAGAGAGGCAATGGGTGCAGCCAACACAGAAGAGCCAAGAGCACTGAACCAGCGGCAGATTGTCTTTTAGAAACGTATGCTTTGAGATACGCCGAATTCCGTCCTCGGCCGCATCCGCCACGGAACATACTATTCATTACAAGTGATTACCGCTTTCACGCTACAATGGATAATTTCTTTCGCGGAAACCATTTAATCTTCTTAGCTTACAAATGCCGTACTTCACATCCAAATTTTGGATTACACACGAACTTTGGCTGGGATTGGGAAGATATGGAACTCGGTCAAAATGGTTTGAAGATTGACAACTTTACGCTTCCAGGGGTTTAACAAGACTAATATCATTTCCTATTATATATATATTTCCTATATTTATGTATTTTCATCTTATTCTTCATGTAAGTTTTAATTTTATTTCTATGTATTTTCATCTTATATTCTCCATGTATTGCTATGTAATTTCTTTATAAATTTTATCTATGTGTTTGGTATCTTTTTTGAAGCTCAAATCAGTTTTAGCACTAGGAAAATGTGTTAGGTATATTTTTTTTTGTTGTACCTCTGGTGTGACTGCTGTAGTTAGGATTTACCCTTGTCGAGTTGGCTGATCTCATTGATGCAAAATGAATACCTAGTCATATATAGGACATGTTTTTCGAGTGAATTTTTTTGAAGAAATATTTATTTCCACATTTTCAATATCTTACTTATTATATTTAAGGTTTTCTTGTGCATTTGAATTTTGGTAGGTCGTGGTTAGACCATATCATAAACAATCTAGACATGGTTATCCAGAAAATAAGAGACGTTGAAAAAAAAAAAAGACACGCTAGCTATTTGTTGAAACGCTAGATTTTATGGCGGTAATTACGAAATTAATGATCCACCAATTGAAAGTGTCTATATACAAAACGCAAACGCTAAAAAATTATTTTGGTAAAAATACTCATTGCTTGAAACGCTCTCAAAGATTCTGAATGGTGACCACTTGATGCGCAGCCATCGATAACAGAGTTCCAAGATGTGAGATCCCTTGTTTCCGATATCGACTCGAACAGCAGGAATGCTGAAGTAAGGTCCCTGCAACTGATGTACATGTTTATTACTGAATTAGCCGAAAGGATATTATTCCCAAGCCCTAGCATTTGCAGCCAACAGTGGACTGATTTGCCAAAGATGAGAGAGTCAGACGAATCACAAGAATACTCACTGAAAACTTCCTTGAACAGATTCTTAGCTTCTTGTGTAAACCCGTTTTGCGCGAAAGCAGATATCATATCGAGTTCCATGAAACCAAGTCTCGATCTGTTGTTGTCTTGAACAACAAGTCAGCCTGAGGTTTTAAGCCACATTTACGTTACATATCAATAACACTGTTTATTACCTCTAAAGCTCTGGATTGCATCTCCCAGCGAACCGTATAACCATGAACTGCTCTTCCCTCTCGTGACAAACAGAAATCACCACATATGGAAGTTATTGAAACCACGGTGGCGATATCAGGCTGGATCTTATCCACCGATTGCATTTCCTTCAAAACACCAAATGCTTCCTCGAACATTCCATTTGCAGCAAACCCATTAAGGATTGCATTCCAAGAAATAACATCCTTGCACAATAATTCTTCAAACAAAGTTTCCGCGCCTCGGCGTCCTCACATTTTGAGTACATCGAAATGATGGAGTTGGCCACAGAGACCTCAGCTTCTGGACTATAACCTGATTTTATAACCAACCCGTGGAGGGGTTCACCCAAAGGAAGTTTTTCAAGAGAAGAGCAAGCTGAGATAACGCATGAAAAAGTCACACTATCAGCCTCTTGTCCTGAACCAGTCATCGACTTGAAATATTTCAACGATTTCCTGGGATACCCATCTGAAATACATCGAGTCACTATCGTGTTCCAAGAAACAATGTCCCGGTGCTCCATATGCGTGAACACACACACACTCTGTGGAGCTCAAGTCCTCGCCTTTTGCATATAGAATCATCAATGCATTGCACAAACTAGAATCCGAAACCAAACTAGTCTCTATTGCTAAACAATGAACCATTGGAAATTTCTTTGAAAGATGTAACGTGGATAACGCCGAAGCTGCAAGTAAGAGCGTCGTAGAATCAAACTCATATCCCTTCTGAATCATCTCAACGAACAATCCAACAGCTGCCATGTAATGTAATGACCATTTTGATTCGAACCAGTGATCATACTGTTCCAAACAATCACATCTTTATCTTTCAATTCACCAAATAGGCCCAAAGAAGACACTAAGTCCCCCGCGTAAAGCGTCAGAAGCTTCGAAGATGTAGTTAAATCTTGGACACTCCTCGGAGTCTCTGTCTCTGTTATCATCATGGAGGATCTAAGAACATCTCGTAAGAACAAAAAAATCGACTCCACAGTCCTATCCTCTATCTTGGGCTTTTCGTCGAACACTTTATGGACAATAGGAGTAGCCGGAGACAAGACAGAGGACGTGAAGTGTCGCTCATGTTTTCTCTTACTGAATTGTAAATTAGAAGAACAATAGCCGGAAAGAGAATTCCGCCGATAAATTGAGTGCCTTAGAGAGTAGAATATGTGGCCGGAACAATAAAGTCCTAGGCTTTTCGGGGGAAATCGTAGAATTTCTTATTTCTTACCATCACATCGGCGGATTTCCCGGTGCCGGCGAAGGAGTATGTAAAATTACGAATTGGGTATTTTATTGGGCCTAAAGTTATCTTAGTAGTAAATACTGGGCTTTTACTCTCTTAATTATTGTACTTCATTTAAAATCGTAAATGAGAATTAGATCAATGGTTTAATACTTTAATTGGGGGATTAAACCGAAATTTCAAAAGCATAATGGTTAACATTTGACTAATGATTAATTAGAACTAAATCATTAATTTATGACGACAAACAAAAAAAAAGTCTCCCAGATCCGTACTGTACCCGTTACCGCACCCGAAAGCATTGCCAATGTATCATGGTCCTGAAATTATTAATAACGATCACTTTTTCGTTTAATTCGATATGAATCATTTGATTCGATAAATCAATAATTAATAAGTTCTTCTTAATCAAGTGCATTAATTGTCGTTAACTACATGTTTCTTAATGCTCATTGACTTTCTATTTTGACTTTCTCCTATCGATGTACGTGTTTGATGAACATCTGGTTTCGTGCTCATCAGATTATACCTAACAACGTGTCTTCTACATTTGTTATTGTATTTGTCAAATTTTATTAACACTAAGAGCATGCAGATAGTTGGTACTCATAGAGTATCATTAAGAATTTTTTAGTATTAATTTTAATGTTTGTTTATTGTTTGAGATTTTTAATGATACTGCTAATAAATCTGTTTCCAGTGGTGAGACCGGTATCGGTATCATTAATAAAAAAATAGATTATTTTGGTTGTTTTTATATGGTGACTTATTATGATATGATTTTTTTTGTCTTTCTTTTCTACTATAAATATTTTGTATAATTACAGAAACACCATTTCAAAATATTTGTAAGAAAATTATATGATGGCAATGGTAGCTATTTACCAGACATAGATGTATTATCAATTGTTAATTTGAGTGAACGTATGAAAGTTTTGTTTTGGTCAGAAGAATTTTTACATTGCATACTTTTGACAAGAAATTTTACTGTTTTGGACAAAAGATTTTCCATTTGTAAATACATCACAGTTCGAGTTATGTAGTCACTTGATTTGTTGACTAAATAAAAGAATTATAGTGTTGACATATAATTTTCCAAATCAATGCAAAGTACAAACTGTTTGTAGTTAACAAAAGTACCAGTTTACATAACCAAACAAGACGTTTAAACCAAAAAACCGGTTTTCATGATAGAGAAACTAGACCAGAGATGAGCTGATGTTATTCTAATCTTGATAGGCACTAGGATATTGTTACCTTGAGTACAATGTTGCCTTTTAATACCAAGAGCTCTGCATCCGTTGTTTGATCCATAACTCCAAATATTGAATGGAATCCATCCGCTAAAGACTGAACCTCCTCCAAGAGCTTTAGGGTAAAGAAGAACACTAGCCAGGGTTAATGCACCTGCAGAAAACCTTATGTCAGAAGTCGCAATGCAAGAAAATCAACACATTGTAGAGTCTTAGATCAGTAAGTAAATCCATGAAATGTGTAGCTACGGGGGATGCAAAGAGAGAGATCACCTCCTTGGCTAAATCCACAGATATACACATTTTCTGGATTTATTTCTCCTGCAATTTCCTTATCTATAATGGTATGAACGTTTGTAACTGCTTTAAGCAAACTGCTTTCATCTTTCGAAGATCCCTACCACATTCAAAATTACTTACTTGATGGCATAAACATATCTCTAGAACAGAACCAACTCCTTAATCAGTTAAAGCAGCTTGTTCTTCGTACATCATAAACCTTAACATCTACTGAACAACTATATAAGAAAATCTGGAGTAGGTACAATGTTAAGGAGTAAATGAGTGAAAGTAAAGAAGATAGAGAAAGAAACCAACCTGCCAGAAGTAGCGAAGGCAACAAGAAGCCCACCATAAAAAATTCCATGGGAACCTTTTGTCTTAACGATCACCATATCCCACCAATTCTCATCGAATTCAATAGATCCCCTCTCCAGCTCCGACCTCAAATTCTTCCAACGAAATCAGACCGCCGGAGACTAAAATGGAGGAGAAATCCTAATCCAAATTCAAATGCTTCCAGTTCAAGCTCGCGGTGATGGTCGGCGGAGGAAATGAATTTTTCTTTCTCTGGATCGAGTTTGAGACGGATCGCGAGTTTGAGAGGAGATTGATTTTTTTTTTCTCTGTTTCACCAAAAAAATATGGTCCAATGGAAAACCGACACGTCACACAAATTTGAGTATCACAAGTATCAGTACACTGATACGTATCAGACCCAATATAGTGGTTTGGTCCATTATAAAATATTTTTTGGGCTAATGATACTCAAAAAAATATCACCGGTGGTCATGGTTCTAGTTTCAATAATGTACCAAAGTCAAACTAACTTTAGAAAGTTATAAACTGAATTGTAAGAAATTGAAATGTTTTATATCAATGTTTTGATAAATATTTGACTAATAACAAGTAAGAACATTACGACGAGTCAAAAAAAAAAAAAAAAAAAAACATTACGACGAGTCTTTTGACTGCTGATCAAGTATTCTTTTTAGTTGATTTGCCTATGAGTCATGACGATCGAGTTAAAGTGTTTATCAAGTTTTGCAATAATACATATATTGAGTATTAATAATTAATTTATTGTGATCGACTTATATACTAATCGCAATTACGTATTATATACGCGTTGACAAAAGATGTAGAGTAATATACAAATGATTATACTTCATAACAACGTTTTCGTATTCTTTCTTCTTTTTTTTTCTTATTATAAAACCCCCAATTAAAGCATTGCAACACAAATTGTGAAACCATGATCGGTAGGCATGTGGATGCATGTTGCTTATTATAATTAAGAGGACGCGATTGAAGGAAAAGTTATTTAAAGATTAATGTGATTAAAAATAATAATAGATGGATCAATCAATGGTTAATTACTTATAATCAAAAGTTAATTAAATCGAATTAGCTAACTGTCTAAATCCTGATATCAACTTGTACCCGAATAGTTTCGTACTTTGTATTGGCCAAATTGTGTTTAACTTTATATATATTTTTAAAAAACTTTATATTAAATAATAACTTTTGTGTCTTATACACTTTAATTTGGTAACAAGTTTGAACTCCAAACTATACATACAATATTGCTTGTTTCGAACTTTCAGAGGTTCTCTCATACACAAGTCTATATAGCATACGCCTCGTCTGAAGTAAACCGATTTGATAGGCTACCATGTTTTGCATCTTCAAAGTTTGATTTGATATTATTTATTTTTACTATGTAAACGATCATTTTTAGATTCCGTATTCCAAAATAATATTAAAATTTAGTATACATATTTTAATAAAAATAAAATATAGGTTATAATTTAATATCCATACGAAGTGACATAATTTAATATCCATACGAAGTGACAACGCTTGGTATCCGAAATGAAGGTCGACATGATCAAATAAAGTTATGAATTTGTTTAAGGTGAAGGAACTGTTAAATAAAAAGTGTTATACCCAAAAAAAGTGTTAAATAAAAAAACTATAGTGCATGAATTTTTTTTCACAAAGAGAGGAGCTCTATAAATAGGGTTAGATATAGAATATATAAAGAAGCTCTATATAAATAACTAAATAGGAGATTAATGAAATCATAAAAGATGCTACTCGAAGCTTCTAAATCTAGCCAGATCAGCATCTAACAAATTCTCTTCCATATGCCACGTGAGAAAGGCAAAATTTGATCCCACACAATCTTCATTTTCATGTTTGTCGTAATAATGTCGACTCCTCTTCCTCTTATTCGTTGTAATCGTTTAATACTGCATAATCAATTAATCATATCATTTATTTGCTTCATCTCTCCTCCAAAGGCCAATCTAACTCTCTATTTCAACGCTACTTCTCCAACCAGACTCTCTTCAATGTACAGTCCTATCCGATGAACCACGGCTAGGTTTTTGTCTCCAACTTGACAATCGAACCCATTTTTTAGGTATGAATCTGTTTTTCCTTCTTCATTGATATGGCTTTCATCTTCAGCTTAAATCAGTGTGATCATGTGCGCATTAACATCCACATATATATCGTATGCATGTATTAATATTTATTATCTGTTTCTTCAAGATTGTTAATATACAAGAAAGAGGAAGGCTGAAGCTAGAGGGATCTGGGAGAAATCATAAAATTTGGGTATGTCTCTTTTTAAATCAGACATTTGTTCTGTTCTTTTAAATCATATGTATGATGTCATACAATATTTTTATATATATATATTCGATCTCCTACTAGAACATATCTGGTCTATTGTTATAGTTCCAAGTCGGGGCCACTTATCTGATAGGTGCTTGGTTTTGATGGACCTCAGTATAGGTTCTATGTTGTCGCTCTATGTTACAAGTTCAATGAGCGATTGGCCTGCATTTTTCAATAAAAAAGAATCATACTATATTGTTTGAGGTAACTTTTTGGATCTTTTATAGGTCTTCCATTTTCTTTTTTTTTGGTTATGTTCTGTTATGGCTTTAGAAAATTCAGTTTTAAAAGAATCTTAAATTGGAGATGACATTGTCTCCATATTTACTTGATATTTAATTTTCATGTGAACATTATTGTATATACTACTCCCTCCGTTTCATAATATAAGTCGTTTTAGCTTTAAGCACGCAGATTAAGAAGATCTACTTTTAAAAAGTTCAACCAATCATAAAAGAGACTGCATAATATAAATAATTATAAAATATTAAAGTAATATATAAAGTGCATAGAAACTTGAAAACGACTTATATTATGAAACAAAATGTTTTCTCCAAAACGACTTATATTATGAAACGGAGGGAGTATATAGTAGAAAGAGTTAGAGGTTCGATATATCTTCTGTATTATTTTGGTTTTCATTGCCTCATATATATGTTTACACTACAGTTCCATATTTACCTAAGAAAGGCCTTTTCACTTTGCTTTATTGTAGCTAAAAAAATGTTTAATTTGAGGTCCAAGACCTGCTTATTTATCACTCTTTCGAATTAAAGTAAAATATGTAACACTCAAGCTTGAGTTTAGACGTTTCTGAGTTTTCCTTAAGACATGACCAAGTGGGCAAATACATAAATATTGCGTACATATTCCTTATGATGTATCTATGATTCATGTGGTTGGTGCTAGAGGAGAAAAGCTCGCCTGTTTTCCATCATCATTCTGCTTAGTGCTATTGGACATTCATGAAAAATCAACATATACTCATACATGAAAGTTCATAGAAGCAATTACTTTTCATTAAGTTCTAAATAATTGAACCAGTTTTTTCATTGTGTGGTGCCAAGAAAGTTGTCATGGCCCTGAGTTAAGAATCGAGGATACTCCCAGTCTCTCAAGTACTTAAAATACATTTTAGAAACTGGAGAAAGTAAATTCTATTGCTGTAGTAAGGTACGAAAATCTTTAATCCTCAATTTTAAATTTCATCTCAAAAACAAGCAAGAGGAGGTTATACTAATGTTATTTTTTCTCAGTCATGGTGTAATGGAGTATGTGTCAGAAAGGCTCAGAGCTCATGTCATCGTTAAAAAAAAAAAACTATGCAAATTCCATAGTAATCTCTTGACGTTTTTTCCATCATAATTGATTGATATGACTTTCTTTTGGTATCCAGAAAGAAATGAAGTGATTATTAATGATTGTCTAAGTACAAGGGTCAAAAGAATTCATGACGTGCTACACAAGTCACAAGCTAATAACCTCTTTCTATATCACTCTAAATTATAATCATGGTAAAGATGGATTGATTTGAGGTTCATGAGTTTCTTACTTTGTTATAATTTTTCTAACACATAATTTAAACCCCTTAAGAAATGAGTAGGATTCAGTATTTACAGGTCGCTCTTAATTGTGTTTCTTTTTTTTCTGTTGAATTTTAATTTATATAAAAAATGTTTCAATTTACTAGCTCGAAATGGTGTTTAGAAAACTTGATGAGAAGTTTCAGCCTTTAGGCCCTTCAGTCACTTATATGTGAAATAACCAACTCAGCTCTTCTAAATTCTCTTATTCAGTCTACTTATTTTTATGTTAAAACATTGGTATATATATGAAAGCTAGATTTCTAAATATATATATTCATACCTATGTTGTGACCACAAATTAGGATCCCTAATCTAAAATTTATAGTAATACTGTTTATGTTCCTAGACTTGGTAGAACTTGAAACACATCACAGTACATCACAAATATTTCGTAAGTTCAAATCAATTCATATGGAGCTTGTCCTAGCCTATATATAGCCAAAAATATTCTTATACCGTTTTTTTTTTTTTTTTTAATCGTCAAATTAAATCAAACCTTTTTCCATGACAATGAGACTAATTGGATATAGTTTACAATAGATCCTGATTGGCCCCTTTGATATAACTAGGTAAACTGGCTTCTTGAATAAATTGTCTCTTATTTTGGTTTTATACGATTTTCATGGTTGTTATCTAATAAAATGTTTATACAGATAGTGTCTTAGAAGGATATTTATGAGAAAATATGGATTTATTTATCTGATATTTTCGTTTTATAGTGGATAGATAGTAAATTTAGAAATAGAATCCACCATAACCAAAAAAAACAAACAAATGGAATCCCGTGAAATGAAGTATCATCATATCTCTTTTTTTTTTTTTTTTTTTTTTTTGGAGAGAATTAGTCCAATCTGCTACTCGTAGAATATATAGAACTACGAGTCTTATATTTTTCTTTCTTTCTTTCTTTCTCTATCTAGTATCTAATAAGAAAGACTAACAAAAGAGAAAAACAAACACTGCTTTTGGTCATTAAATATTCCGTCTAGATGGTGGATTTGGAGTTAGTGCATGCATATTCTTTTCTTTTTTTTTTTTTTTTTTTTTTTTTTTTTGCATGCATATTCTTTGTCTCCCATCACAAAATAAAGTGCACTTCTACTATGCAGAATTGCAGATTGTACAATACAATACACTAAAGAAAGTCGCAATGTTAGATTTTATTGATTTGCACAAAAAAAAAAAAGATTTTATTGATTGACAATTTCGTTTGGGCCATAGTTTAAACTAAGAGAAATTTGGGCCATATGTAAAGAATACTCCCTTAAACTTGGGTCAAATTTTAAATTAAGAGGCCCATTAGTCCATCTCAAGAAAGAATCTTTCTCGACTCTTAAAAATCTGACCGGCGGAGATGGCTTTGAGTTGGACCAGTCGGAGAATTAGGGTTTCAACGGGGACTCGCTAGTCATCCACTCTCCGAGCCTTTCTTCTCCCCGCCCAAAATCCCGTCGAAAGTTATCTTCTTCAACATTGATTTGCCTCATTCTCTGCCCATTTTCACGTTACTGCTTCGTTTAGGTTCGCGTTTTAGCTTACTTTGTTGAGTTTTCTCTGTATCTCTGGTTTCAATTTCAGCTCCATTTTGTCTTTTTTCGGTTGAATTTTCTCTTGGGTGGTATCGAAATTTGCTCATGAATGTTGTTTCTTGATGAATTGCAAAACGGAACCCTCTTATTGCTATGCTTCACGTCGTTCAATTCAAACTTGGTGTGATCTTTTGCAACACAATGATCAGGAATAGTTCGTCACTTAGCAACTCTAATGTCAGAAGAGCAGACAAATCTGGAATAGAGAATTAGTAAATTGAGCTGGAAGGTTTCTCTTGTCAAACTGATAATAAGATCTTGGCATTATTGTGTCATGACATTCTTTTTTAGGTTTCGTAGAAGTTTCTAATTTGGTCTAGATACCAGTTCTAGACTAGCAATGTTGATTTCCATATCTGAATCCGATCTTTCACCAAATTCAGAGGTTCTCTATTAATGTTTCTGAAAACATTGTTTTTACTTGCAGCTGTTGTTTCGCTAACTCTAACAGAACACCTGTTGTTTGCCCTACAGCACGAGCATCAATGGGATCTCCTGAAAAAGGTGTGTGAATGGCTACTTTTATAAGTAGATTGTGGTATAGATACAACTTCTTATGCTGATGTTCTTGTTTTTCTGGGATTTTAGCTACGTATGCTCAAATTCTCAGCCGCCCACGACCAAATATTCCCCCCATCCAACCACCAGAGAAAAAGAAGGACCTTCAATCTGAAGGTATGTGATAGATAGCATAGAACCACAAACCAAAAAGCTACTTTCAGAAGCATGCTAACAATTTTTTTATCTTTTATTTCAGCCGAAGTGGATCCACGTTTCGAAGTACCTTTTCTATGGGACTTCGAGAATTCCCCAATCAGGTCTGATCAAGTGGCCCAGTTAGAGGCAAACATCAATTCGTCTCTAAAAACATTACATCCTAAGTTACATTTGGCAAAACGAAAGTACGGAGCTGGTAACACGAATCTGGATTTTGTTTACGATCATGAAGACGAACTTGATGATATGGGTTTTCATATGGAAGATTCTGTTATAACCGGTCGTTATTGCTCTGTCTGTAACGGTGACCGCGAAGTGGGGGATTTTGGAGATTACTACATGCGACTTAGGGAGGTAGCTGATCGTATGATCCTCCAACAACTCCAACGCCACGTACTCAACGGTTCACCATCAAACTTTGTCCTTCTCGTTTCGAGAGATGCCGATTTTAAACTCTCCATGGAGTTCCTGAAAGCAAAAAATTACATTGTGTTCTTAGCCATACTCGGCAAGACGAATGAAGCATTTACTCGCACTGGAAACTACGTGTGGGATTGGGGGAAGATGCCAGATGGAAACGCAAGACCAATATGGCCGCCAGTGAATAAGAAGAAGTGAATTAGCGGGAAAATGTGTTTGGTATCAGTTTTAATACTAGGAAAATGTGTTAGGTATCTTTTTTTTGTTGTAGCTCTGGTTTGACTGTTGTAGTTAGGATTTATCCTTGTCGAGTTAGCTGATCTCATTGATGCAAACTGAATACCTAGTCATATGACGTTTTGGAATTCATAAAGTCGGTTCACCTTTTTTTATTCGAAGCTTTCAATTTGCGGTTTTTGAGCTTGAATTTGCAGATATCTTGCTTCTAAGATTTTGCAGGTCAACTATTATTTCATCATTGTTAGTATCTTGGGGGTACTCAAGTTATTATTACTGGCTCTGATTGTAAGTGGATTGTCTTTGGATATTCTTTTTGTGCTACTTTCCTATGTAGTTCATTTCGTTCCTTTGCCTAAGCGTAACGTCTACATTTGGTATATTTAAATCGATTTGTTTAGTTTCCATAGAAGTGATACTTGTTAATAGATTGGTGTTCATGATCCTGCGTAAAGAAATGGGTTCTGTAGGAATAAAAGCAGTTGTGTTCTTTTATCAAATTGTGTATGAATATGTTGTATCTTCCTCAGGCAGTTAAACTATATGATTTCATGTATTTTGTAGGTCTGTTGACAGATGGCAGGTCGATTGACACGTATTGCTATTGTGAGTTCTGACTGTTGCTAGCCAAATAAATTTCGCCAAGAGTGCAAGAAGAGTTGTCCTGTGGTCAAGACAGGTGTATATTCTGATTCCCAATTTTAATTTGTGGTCTTTCATATGGGTTTATTATTGCTGTACTGTAATTGATCAGCTATGTCATGTGCGTCATGCCAATTAGTACACAGAGGATGGTTAGGTGTTTATGTGAAGCCATTAGCTTATAGTCGTACTTGAAGTTTGACTTTTTGTTGTAGCTCTACAAATTTTTAGGGCCACTTATGCATTAACTTGCCTTTTATCTCAGGAAAACTTTGTATTGAGGTGACTATTGGTTCCAAGCATGCTTTTATCTCAGAGGATTTGTGCATTGGTTGCGGTATTTGTGTGAAGGTGTATGTATGCATAGGCTCTTTCCAATTTCGAATATGCCTCTGGAATTGTCCCCATTACGGGGACGCTGAATGTACTACTCTGCTGTTGCACAATTGTAGAAATGCTCGTTTGAAGCTATTCAGATTATCAATCTTCCAAGAGACTTAGAGAAAGATATGGGCCAAACACTTTTAAGTTTCACATGTTCGTTTATCTTATTATTTTCCTGAATATTCTACCCCTCTTGTAGTGTTAAGACAATGGAAACTCTGTCTTTACTTCCAGGCTCCCAGTTCCAAGGCCGGGGCAGGTGCTAGGGTTGGTTGGAACAAATGGTATTGGAAAATCAACTGCTCTGAGAAAGCAGCTGCTGGTGTTATTAGATCGATTTTGAATGTTGTTCAGATTTGCCATTTCATGGGAGTGATACATCGTGATCTTAAGCCTGAGAATTTCTTGCTAGCTAGTAGTACTGATGAGAATGCTATGCTTAAAGCTACTGATTTTGGATTGTCTGTGTTCATTGAAGAAGGTAAGTTTGTGTAATCAAATCCTCTTATTCTGGTTTTTAGTGTTATACATATGCAAATGTTTTAGATTTCTTAAGATTCTGGAGTTGTGTTGTGGATATAGATTTGGTCAAGAATAGTATGTATCTTAAGAGTCTTGTTTCATTTAGTGATGTTTGAGTATTGTGATCCTCTTCGCTTGCTTCATATGCTTAAAGCTACTGATTTTGGATTGTCTGTGTTCACTGAAGTAGGTAAGTTTGTGTAATCAAATCCTCTTCTTCTGGTTTTTAGTGTTATGCATACGCAAATGTTTTAGATTTCTTAAGGTTCTGGAGTTGTGTTGTGGATATAGATTTTGTCAAGAATAGTATGTATCTTAAGAGTCTTGTTTCATTTAGTGATGTTTTAGTAGATAGTGGTAAGCTTGAAAACAGAGGTTTTGCTAGTTTTGTATTAATTTGAGAATGTGTGTTAATGGGTTATTATAGGACTTGTGTGTTCTTTTTCTTTTCTTATTTGTCAAATTATGCCAGTTTAGTTAGTTGATATAATCTTGTGTTCATATGCTTGATGTGTTTTGTTTCTAAACTGTAAAACAAAAATTGCAGGGAAAGTTTACAGGGATATAGTAGGAAGTGCTTACTATGTTGCTCCTGAAGTATTAAGGCGAAGTTATGGAAAGGAAATCGATATTTGGAGTGCAGGGATTATTCTATACATCTTGCTTTGTGGTGTGCCTCCTTTTTGGGCTGGTAATAAAATCTGACCAATTGTTTGATTTGGTTTATCCTTTTAGTTATGTTGTTTATGTGTGTTGTTGTTGTTGGTACATTGTAGAAACTGAGAAGGGGATATTTGATGAGATTATAAAGGGAGAAATTGATTTTCAGAGCCAACCATGGCCTTCTATATCTGAGAGTGCTAAAGACCTAGTGAGGAAGTTGCTTACTAAGGACCCTAAGCTACGAATCTCAGCGGCACAAGCTCTTGGTAAAGTCCCTTTGGTCTCTCCAAGTGCGCTCATCTTATTTTGCAATGTTTTACTAATCTGTAGAGATCCTTGTGGGTTTTCTTTCAGAACATCCTTGGATTAGAGGAGGAGAAGCGCCAGACAAGCCTATCGATAGTGCTGTGTTATCTCGCATGAAGCAATTCCGAGCAGTGAACAAGCTTAAGAAGCTAGCTCTTAAGGTAAAAACTACAAACGTTTCTTCTGCAAGTTGCATATTCTCTTTTGTTTTGGCTAATCATTGGTTGTGCTTCTGATTTTGTTTTACAGGTTATTGCAGAAAGTCTCTCGGAAGAGGAAATTAAAGGTCTTAAAACCATGTTTACGAATATGGATACCGATAAAAGCGGCACAATCAGTTACGAAGAACTGAAAACCGGGTTGGCTAAACTCGGCTCTAAACTAACTGAAGCTGAAGTGAAGCAACTCATGGAAGCCGTGAGTATTGTGATCCTCTTTGCCTGCTTCATATGCTTAAAGCTACTGATTTTGGTTTGTCTGCGTAATCAAATCCTCTTCTTCTGCTTGTTAGTTATATATGAAAATGTTTTAGATTTCTTAAGATTCTGATGAATGTTGGAGTTATGTTGTGGATATAGATTTTGTCAAGAACAGTATGTATCTTAAGAATCTTGTTACATTTAGTGATGTTTTAGTAAATAGTGGTAAGCTTGAAAACAGAGGTTTGCTAGTTTTGTGTGAACTTGAGAATGTGTGTAAATGGATTATTATAGAACTTGTGTGTTCTTTTCCATTTCTTATTTGTCAAATTATGCCAGTTTAGTTAGTTGATATAATCTTGTGTTCATATGCTTGATGTGTTTTGTTTCTAAACCGTAAAACAAAAATTGCAGGAAAAGTTTACAGAGGTATAGTAGGAAGTGCTTACTATGTTGCTCCTGAAGTATTAAGACGAAGTTATGGAAAAGAAATCGATATTTGGAGTGCAGGGATTGTTCTATACATATTGCTTTGTGGTTTACAATGTAATAAAAGCAGACAAAGTCTTCGATTTGTTTATCCACTTAACTATGTGATTTATATGTTTTCTATTCTTGTTGTTGTTGTGTTACATTGTAGAAACTGAGAAGGGGATATTTGATGAGATTATAAAGGGCGAAATTGATTTTGAGAGTCAACCATGGCCTTCTATATCTGAGAGTGCTAAAGACCTTGTGAGGAAGTTGCTTACTAAGGACCCTAAGCAACGAATCTCAGCGGCACAAGCTCTTGGTAAATTCCCTTTGGTCTCTCTAAAGTGCTGTTTTGTAGTCAACTTACTTTTCAGTGCTTTACTAATCTGTAGTGATCCTTGTGGTGCTTTTTTTAGAACATCCTTGGATAAGAGGAGGATAAGCATATTGATAGTGCTGTGTTATCCCGAATGAAGCAATTTCGAGCAATGAACAAACTTAAGAAGCTAGCTCTTAAGGTAAAAACTACAAACGTTTCTTCTGCAAGTTGCACATTCTCTTTTGTTTTGGCTAATCATTGCTTGTGCTTCTGATATTGCTAGGTTATTGCAGAGAGTCTCTCGGAAGAGGAAATTAAAGGTCTTAAAACAATGTTTGCGAATATGGATACCGATAAAAGCGGAACAATTACTTACGAAGAACTGAAAACCGGGCTGGCTAAACTTGGCTCTAAACTCACTGAAGCTGAAGTGAAGCAACTCATGGAAGCCGTAAGTATTGCCATCCTCTTTGCTCTGCTTCTAATGTTTCTTATTCTTCTAAAAAAAGATGGAGCCTGAATATATAGCCTTATTTTATATATGTTTCAGGCTGATGTAGATGGTAATGGAACAATAGACTACATCGAGTTTATCTCAGCGACGATGCATAGATACAGATTTGATCGAGATGAACACGTATTCAAAGCCTTCCAATACTTCGACAAAGACAACAGCTGGTAAGTTTGGTCCCTTGAGGAACAATGTAAATATAGACTGGAGCTACTTTAAGAAACCAATTTGGATTTCTCTTAACACAGGTTTATCACAATGGATGAGTTGGAGTCAGCCATGAAAGAATATGGTATGGGAGATGAAGCTAGCATCAAAGAAGTCATAGCGGAAGTCGATACAGATAATGTAAGTTTTGTTTTCCCTCTACATAGCATCAAACAAATTATGAACAAGTCTTAAGCCAAGATTGAGATTAATGGGTCTCTTTTGCAGGATGGAAGAATAAACTATGAAGAATTTTGTGCCATGATGAGAAGTGGTATCACACTGCCAACACAAGGGAACTTCTTCCAGTCCAATGACTGATAAATCGAAAAGCCTTGATAGAGGAACTTAAAATTAATTAGATAGCCAACATTTTCTACGACCATGCAAAAGAGTTGCTGACTTAAACTGGATACTATTTGTGTTGTTCATTGAAGAAGGTGACTTAAACTGGATACTATTTTCTTGCTTGCTAGTACTGATGAGAATGCTATGCTTAAAGCTACTGATTTTGGTTTGTCTGTCTTCATTGAAGAAGGTGAGTTTGTGTTGTAATCAAATCCTCTTCTTCTGGTTTTTAGTGTTATACATATGCAAATGTTTTAGATTTCGTAAGATTCTGGAGTTATGTGTGGAATATAGATTTTGTCAAGAATAGTATGTATCTGAAGAATCTTGTTTCATTTAGTGATGTTTTAGTACTAAATAGTGGTAAGCTTGAAAACAGAGGTTTTGCTATTTTGCTAGTTGATATAATTTTGTGTTCCTATGAACAAGATTAAGAAGCTAGCTCTTAAGTTAAAACTACAAAAACAAAGCAGCTAAGGATCGAATTTCAAGAAACCAGAAGAAGATGGCAAGTAACATATATGATGCAAAAACAAAGGTTATATATATGAGTTTTTGATTCGAGAATAGTCTTGTACACACAATTTAAAAGCAAAAGATGTCCTAATAATATTTTTACTCCCATCATAAAAGCATTGAAATTAACATTAGTCCCATCATGAGAGCAAGAGGCCGTCTTGGTCGAGAACATAGTCATCGACTTTTATCAGGATTTAATACGGCAACTTTGATACTTAACTCTTCCAAAGTCTCACGTACACGGTCGAACTTGGTGCCTTGTCCGAAGTTTTGGTTTCTTGAGAGTACCACCAAATTACTTTGGGATTCCATCATGTGTGCCCAATAAAGAAGGTGTAGTAACATCCTGTTATATCTTATACTTTCATCACCTTCTTCTGGATTCAAATAGATTGTGATACCGTGATCCCCATAAGCATCCCTAAAATATCGTTTTGGCAATTTCGGATTAACAACGTAACCCTGGATTCTCACCTTCCCACGGTAACCCTCTTTGAGGAGAGCATAAGTGATTTCGTCATGTTTCGACCAAAACTCGGTAACTGCAGGCAAATTTACATCCTCAATGACCCAGAGGACAAGTGTCTCACGACCTGTGAGGTCAAAACGGACAACGATTAAAAAAACTATTACGAAACATCAGATCAGTAAAATTATACTAGAAAATAGATCCATTAAAATTAACTATGGCAGATTGATAGAGATGAATCCAGACCATAGTCAAACAATTTCGAGCAAGGGATACAACTTACACATTTCACGAGCGGTGGTGGGAATGGGGAATAATCTGGACATGGTTTTCAGCCGAGTTATCGACCGAGTTATCGAGAAAAAAATCACGCTCTGCAGATGATGAGATGTACTCTGTTGTGACTTTACGGGTTTTAGATGGGTGATCAGAATCAGCAAGAGTATCTGCTTTCCGCTTGTTCTGGTCAAAGACGTTGTGAGTGGTTTCCTCCATCAACACTTCAGGTACCCATGTTGGTGATAATATAAGACCACATTTCCACCTCCACAAAGAGTCAAAATGTTTCAGCACGTCTGGATTATCCATGTTTTTTGAGAGGACAATCAAATTTCTTGTTGAAGAACTTTTCAGTGCCCATTGGAACATGTCCACTAACATGGAATAAATTCCCGCGTCTTTATCTCCTGGAAAGTACATCAACAGAGATCTAGATTAGGGACGACATGTATATGTCAAAAAAATAAACAGAGAAGGAGAATAATATCACCTTCGGGTAAGAGATCGAATTTGATTTCGGCAGCTGAAAATTTAGATAGTAATTCACCATCCGAGAATGTATCATTATTACCGTAAGCGTGGATTGACACATCCACACTACAACCTATATCCGCGAGCTCTGATTTGATTTTCTTTAGTACAAAACAAGGATCCACACCATTAGGGATTGGGTAACTCCCCATGTCCCAAAAGATGCATGCGTCAGCATCTGCCAGGTTTCAGGATTAAACAATTACGAGACGGAAAAAAAATTCAGATCGTGAATAAAATAAGTTATAATTAAGGGATTTACTATGGCAGATCGACGATTAGATATACGCTAGTTTACTAATGACAGATCGACCAGATGAAAGCTAATCCAGATCATAGACAAACAATTTCGACTAAGTTTTAGTTGTTTTTTTTATTATAACAACTTTGTACTATTATGTATCTGAAGAATCTTGTTTCATTTAGTGATGTTTTAGTACTAAATAGTGGTAAGCTTGAAAACAGAGGTTTTGCTATTTTGCTAGTTGATATAATTTTGTGTTCCTATGAACAAGATTAAGAAGCTAGCTCTTAAGTTAAAACTACAAAAACAAAGCAGCTAAGGATCGAATTTCAAGAAACCAGAAGAAGATGGCAAGTAACATATATGATGCAAAAACAAAGGTTATATATATGAGTTTTTGATTCGAGAATAGTCTTGTACACACAATTTAAAAGCAAAAGATGTCCTAATAATATTTTTACTCCCATCATAAAAGCATTGAAATTAACATTAGTCCCATCATGAGATCAAGAGGCCGTACATTAGTCCCATCATGAGAGCAAGAGGCCGTCTTGGTCGAGAACATAGTCATCGACTTTATCAGGATTTAATACGGCAACTTTGATACTTAACTCTTCCAAAGTCTCACGTACACGGTCGAACTTGGTGCCTTGTCCGAAGTTTTGGTTTCTTGAGAGTACCACCAAATTACTTTCGGATTTCATCATGCGTCCCCAATAAAGAAGGTGTAGTAACATCCTGTTATATCTTATACTTTCATCACCTTCTGGATCCAAATAGATTGTGATACCGTGATCCCCATAAGCATTCCAAAAATGTTCTTTTGGCAATTTCGGATTAACAACGTAACCGTTGGTTGTCACCCTCCCACGGTAACCCTCTTTGAGGAGAGCTAAAGTGATTTTGTCATGTTTCGACCAAAACTCGGTAACTGCAGGCATATTTTCATCCTCAATGACCCAGAAGACAAGTGTCGCACGACCTGTGAGGTCAAAACGGACAACGATTAAAAAAACTATTACGAAACATCAGATCAGTAAAATTATACTAGAAAATAGATCCATTAAAATTAACTACGGCAGATTGATAGAGATGAAATCTAATCCAGACCATAGTCAAACAATTTCGAGCAAGGGATACAACTTACACATTTCACGAGCGGTGGTGGGAATGGGGAATAATCTGGACATGGTTTCAGCCGAGTTATCGAGAAAAATATTAGGCGCTGCAGATGATGAGATGTACTCTGTGACTTTTCGGGTTTTAGATGGGTGATCAGAATCAGCAAGAGTATCTGCTTTCCGCTTGTTCTGGTCGAAGACATTGTGAGCGGTTTCCTCCATCAACACTTCAGGTACCCATGTTGGTGATAATATAAGACCACATTCCCACCTCCACAAAGAGGCAAAATGTCTCAGCACCTCTGGATTATCCATGTTTTTTGAGAGTACAATCAAATTTCTTGTTGAAGAACTTTTCAGTGCCCATTGGAACATGTCCACTAACATGGAAAAAATTCCGGCGTCTTTATCTCCTGGAAAGTACATCACCGGAGATCTAGATTAGGGACATGTATATGTCAAAAAAATAAATAAACAGAGAAGGAGAATATCACCTTCGGGTAAGAGATCGAATTTGATTCCGGCAGCTGTAGATAGTAAATCACCATCCGAGACTGTGTCATTATTACCGTAAGCGTGGATAGACACATCCACACGACAACCTATATCCGCGAGCTCTGATTTGATTTTCTTTAGTACAAAACAAGGATCCACACCATTAGGGATTGGGTAACTCCCCATGTCCCAAAAGATGCATGCGTCAGCATCTGCCAGGTTTCGAGACGGAAAAAAAATTCAGAACGTGAATAAAATAAGTTACAATTAAGGGATTTACTATGGCAGATCGACGATTAGATATACGCTAGTTTACTAATGACAGATCGACCAGATGAAAGCTAATCCAGATCATAGACAAACAATTTCGACTAAGATGAGAGAGAGAGAGAGAGAGAGAGAGAGAGATCTTACTTAGGTATTCTTCGATCGGATCAATGGTTTCGGCGGAGGACAGCGAAATCTCGGACATATATTTCTCAAACACGGACATGGTCTCGTCGGTATCGGACATGGTTTCGTCGGCAGCGGATCAGAGACTTTGTGAATTTAGGGTTACAACTGAGCCGCAATTCCTCTGCGTCTCTGTATAAAGGCTAGCGAGTCTCTTATTGGGCTGGGCCTGGCAGATATCAGACAGCCTATTGGTTTACTAAGAACTTTATTATTATTATCCTTTATAAAAAAATGTTAATTGTCACTCAGTCTCAGAACAACAGAAGGCCAGAAAGTTTTAGTTGTTCTTTTTTTTTATTATAACAACTTTGTGCGGGTTATTTCAAAAAAAGTTTTAATGAAAATTTTGTGTGACTAATAATATTTTCTTCAAGTTTTTGAAATATATATATATATATATATATATATATATATATTTAATTGATACATCAATGAGGAACTCAAGAACAAGGTTTAGAATCTTTGTCTAAACTGATCTCACTATTGTCAAAAAAATAAACTCAAACAGAATCTTTGTCTATGCTTTGTCTCAGAGCAATAACATAACAAAGACAATTGAGAAGAATGAAAAACAGACCCTAAAAACAGACCAAAAGCTTCTTCTACCCTATCTCCAAACTCAGTTCAAGCTCATTTCCTGCGTAACAGTTCCTTGAGAAGGTTCACCTTGAGGAACCTGTAATAACAACATAAATAAAAGAATTAAACAAAGCACGTAAAACATAGTACATAGACACATTAGATTGTGGAACACAAACCTCGTTCTTCTTCTTATGAAACCTAGAGTTGTGATTAGCCGCACCACATACCCCACAATGCATAACATCTTATTTGTATTTCTGTGAACCTTAACTTCTGCAGCATCTTCAAGCTCTTTTTCAAGATATTCTTCCACATATGGTGTACATAAACCCTTGTGATCATGAGATTTAACACTTCTTTTGGCAATACGTACCATGGCAAGTCGAGCACTCTAACATAGGTACCAATGGCTTCTCTCTTGCTTTGAATATCGTGTTGTTAAATGATTATGTGGAGTTGTTCTCAACATCTTCAACATAGTGGCCAATTTTGTAGAAATCTCTACACCACATATCATACTGCTTCAATTTCTCCAGGTTTTCTCTATACTCAGCCTCATTGTAACTCCATGCTAGATTCCAGATAAACGGCTTCATCTGTGATTTCTTACCATGATTTGCCTTTAAATTCCCATATATGTGTCTCACACACATCCTATGTTCAATATGAGGTAACTCTATCTCCACAGCTCTAATCAATCCCTATAACAGAACCACAAGTTAAAGTAGATAAAACATAGTAGAAAACAAAGTAGTAACCAATATAAACATTAATATCTTTTGACGATCCGAGACCAATATGTATCCTTCACCATCTTTTAGTCCCAAATCAGCTTTAATCTTGTTCACAAACCACAACCAATTAGGGCCATTCTCCACTTGAACAATGCCCTATGCCACTGGATATATAGCGTTGTCCGCGTCTCGCCCTAAAGCTACCAACAACTGACCTTTGGTTTTTCCTCTTACGAAACAACCATCTACTCCTAATATTGGCCTACAAGACTCCTTCCATGTTCTTCTAAGAATGTCAAAGCACACGTAGAATCTATTGAATTCATCCTCACCATTCTCATTTGTTAGCGTATCAATTTCCACCGTAGAACCCGAATTTGATTCTTCTATCTCAGCACCAAAATCTCTAATCCGTGCAAATTGCTCATCATATTCTTTATCAATCCATTTCAAAGCTTTAAGCCTAGCATCTTGGCATTGAGGCCTCGATACACTAATCTTCCATTTTTTCATTAACAGTTCTTCAATCTTCATTGGCATAAAGTAAACAGGTTCATCCCGAATCTTGTCAAGAAACAATCTTGCAATCACTGGCACTCTAATAAGCTCACACTCCCCATTAACAGTACAACTATGCTTTTCAATAAATCTTGTAACTTGCCACTTATCAGACTTAGAACTAACAAAGCAATAGATACGCCATCCGCAAACATCAACATTACAACGATACCCAAGCTTTGTTTTATCATACCTGTACTGTCTGATATTCCTACCTAATCGAAGAGCGTAGTCAAGGACAGCTTCTTTAAACGCGATTTTATTGTAGAACACTTGGTCCATGTACAAATTCCCATCACCACGTATGATCTCGTTACGATCTCTACCCCGTTGAACATCGTCGTCTTCATCACTGTCACTGTCGGGAATGACATCGTGACGAATACACGGCTCATCGATGAAATCGATTACTACTTGCTCGATGTTGAAATCATTTCGTGCGGTTTGGTCTTCTTGATCTTCATCATCGGGTTCCTCATCAATAGGAACATTGTTCATCTCGATCTCTAGAACTGACATAGACGAAGATCAATGAACTTGCAATTAGAGGTTTCGGGTAACTTTCTTCTCGCAACTAGTGTTCGTGAGGAAGGGTTTTTGATTTAGGGATATTTCTAATTTGAGGGATTTTATGATTTGGGGATTTAATCGGGTCTGGGGTTAGAGATAAATTGGTTTAGGTTTGGTTTAAGTTCGTTTATATTGGTTAAAACTAGATTAGTCTACAGTAAACCAACATTAACCTAGCTCTATGTGAAAATTAGTTTCGAACTTTCATTATATGTTGAAATAGGTTTTTAACTTTATATCTGGGGGAAATAACTGTAGAACTATGCTTCTAGGGAGAAATAGAGAGGGCGTGAAACTTTGGGTGGAAGCAATGCTATACGAAAGTTATGAGGGGAAATACATCGTTGTCCCGTTTTTTTTATTATAACACAACTTTGTGCGGGTTACTTCAAAAAAGATTTAATGAAATTTTTGTGTGACTAATAATATTTTCTTCATGTTTTTAAAATTTTCCTTTTCATTATTAGCTTATTTTGGGGAAGATCAACTGCTATGTCTTGGGGAGATTTCTTGCTTCCAAAGCTTCACTATCTCAAAGAGGTTACAAACCCACCACCGATGTTTTGGTTTTACAAATTTTTCACACAAGAAGAACAAGATTCAAAAACAACTAAGAGGAAGAAGAAAGCTTGCTTAGGAAGCTCTTGTATCTCTCTTTTCTAGAACTCTCTTTAGCTTGTCTTGTCTCGCACCTACCACCTCTATCTCTAATCCCAGGTAGAGAGATATATAAGAGTATGTGATGGGCCACTTTTATTATTCTTTCTCATCATGTCAATTTCGTATGGGCCTTAATGGGCCAGATTTTGTTGGTTTTGTCAAACCCATCAACAGATACAAACACGATGCTCGGTAACTGGTTTAACCCCAAATTTTTCCTCCATTTGGTTGTAATATCTTAGACCTTCATCTATAAACCCAGAGTGGCTGCAAGCTGACAATAGGCTTATGAAAGTGCTCTTGTTTGGTTCCATCCCTGAGTTACCACTACTTATATCATTTCCTTGAATAGCTCCATTGCTTTCTCTCCCATTCATGAGATTTGTGTTGAGATTGTTATCTTCTTCTTCATTTTTTAAGTTTTCTTCTAAAAATGCAACTATATATTTGCAATCTAAGTTTACAACTCATAATCATCAACTGAAACTCACCATATAAAACAATATATAACAACATTATACTGTATAACACCTTAATCATGTACCAAATTAGGTAATACTGCTAATACTATTTCCGTCAAGTTATTAAACTAGGTAAAAACTCTAGTGGCATTATGAGCTTTTAAAACACGATATATATAAGTTGTATCTACAGACTCCACTTAATCAAAATGACACGTCATAAGGCAACTTTTTAGTTCGACACTATTACTGGTCTATTTCTAGTTACACAGTCTTTGCATAAACCTCAAGTTTTAAACACAGACTTTGTGTTCCAACGAATAAGCTCAAGCCGTTTAAAATTAAGTATAAGACTTATATTTCTCTTAATTAATATTTTTGGTTAACCCTAACATATATACTCTTCTCGAGTTCTCGTCCTACATTTAATCAAAGATGTCATACATTTTCAGTTTACTGAACTTTATTTGTATTCTCCAAAAGATGTCCCATCAAGGGAAGCAAAGAAAAGAAAGATTATTTTTTTCTAGAAATAAATAAATTATTAAGAGAAATAAACTTTTTTTTTCTTTTCAAAGTATCCTTAACTCCATAATTTTGATGATTTAGATATTTGTAAATATATTATTTATATTTAACTCTTTTCATCTCTTTTAATTAGGTATGTGTTGTTTTTTGCACCTTTATTTCCCCTTGTTAACTGAGTTTTATATGTCAAATCTTACAAGTAATTGAAACCAGTAGTATACAACTTCTTATCCAAAAAGAAAATACTGTATACAATACAAATGATGACTAATTCCGTTTACGTATTCTAACGTATTGTTCCAAAAGCTTCTACATTTTCATCGTACATGAGGAGCTTTGTAGGTTTCTTAGTGAACACAAATTCTAAAAATGTCTTATTAACAAGCTGGACTAATAATTTTGAGGTTCTTTAAAATTATTGTTGATATATATATATATATATTGTTGAATTTAGGGTGCGTATATCGTGTATAAACTTTGAGGGGTTAAATGAACACTAAACATTTTGATTAAAAAAACTTTCTTAGATATATAAAAAATTTGCCCGGATTTTCATATTTATTTTTAATAGAATTAGCTAGCTAAACAAAAAAAAAAAAAAACTTAATATGCAGAATTCAAAATGAGGAAAATGTTATCAAATTATAATGAAGGATGTGGGTTGATTCGAGACATAAAGAAAGTCTTTTGAATATAGTACATTGATTTTGTCTTCTTGCAAGAATCAGATTCCATCAATAATTCTGGTAGGGTATTTGAAAAAATAGTACCAAACAATTACTAGTCCTCTGTCTAAGCGTTTAACTTTTTATTTTTATTTGATTTAGTTCATAACTAATATTGCACAACCAAAAAAAAAAAACGAAAATAAATATACGAAATTATTACAGTTTTGTCGCTTTCTGAAACCTCCTTCTATTGTACTTTTGATTCAACGTGAACTGGTGTTAAAAAACGATTTGAAAGAAGGTCCCATGACTATCTTTAATGTAATCGGTTCCAAATTATTACATTTATTTTATATTTTTTGTAAAGAAAAACGAACAAAGAAAGAAGAGTGAGTCATGTTAAATTTGGACCGTCTATTTTCTTCTCTTACGTACGATAACTCACATGGCCTTTTGATTCCTTTGAAGCAATCAATGACCTCTCTGTCTCTCATTTCCCAGCAATAATACGTTACCAATTATATAGGCCATTCCCATCAACATCAACATGAAATCTCCCGATGAATTTGATTTCACCGACTGCAATAAATTTTGTTCATTTATGTCGAGATTTCTCCGTGATTGAACGTTCGTCAAAACTTTTTGAAATAGGAGTTATAAAAACTGTGATATATCGATCTCATGATCCTTTTTTTTTTTTTTTCCATCCAATTACTTTATTAATAACCAAATGAGGCATCCTTGTTTACAAAGGAGTTAAGAAAACTTGGACAACAATGATACAGAGAATAATTATTTGAACTTTGGACTGCTTTCTTGGCAAGAAAATCCGCACATCCATTTTGCTCCCGATGGCGAAATGTGACTTTCATTGAAGTGAATTTGCTCCTCCATTGCCATATCTCGTTTAAATAATGTTGTAGTCGGAGATTTGTTCCTTTATCATTGATAAGCTTAACAATGGAGGCATTTTCTCCTTCAAACTCAACATGTCTATATCCAAGTGCCCATGATGCTTGGATAGCCCATATTAATGATGTGCACTCTGCTTCTTCAACAGTTAACCTTCCCTGAAATTTCCCCATGCCACAATCAAGACATGTTCCATGTGAGTCCTTGATTATCCACCCTAGGCCTGACGGCGTCGCTCCTTCGTAGTGAGAGGCATCATAATTGCATTTGACCCATCCTCTGTTCGGCTTACACCATGAACCCGTCCGTGAACTTCGTACCTCAACCGGTTGTCCTCCTGTTTGACGTCCTTGGTTACTATCTTGACAATCCAACCATTCTTTTGTGTCTATAAACGCTTGGCTAACAGTGTCCTCGATTTTAGTGACTTTCCGATTAAACACCAAATCGTTCCTCGTTTTCAAGATTCTCCACAGTAACCAGAATGGAAGGTAACGGCTTACTCTGTCAATGTGACTGTTATCATGGAGGTTAAAAAGCAGCCTTAGTTTATCTTCAAATGGTTTATCCTGGTTCCATAGGTCCTGCGTTGGGACTCCGGCAGCTCTCCATATCGGTTGGACAAAGGGGCAGGAGAATAATGTGTGGTCATTTGTTTCCAACTCATTACAACATCTTGAGCAGTAGGGGTTCACATTCATATTTCTCTGGCGCAGATTTTCGGCAATGCCAATGGCTTTGGAAGCATACCGCCAGAGGAAATGCTTTAGCTTTGGAACAATATTCAATTTCCAAATCCTTTTCGCTATGTCCGAGTTTGTTGCCAGCGGTGCTTTGGGTTCATCATCCGCGATGCTCAAGTTCATTGCTCTCCAATAGCCCGATTTCACGGTCTAATGACCATCCTTTGTATAATGCCACAAGTATAAATCCGGTGATTCCTTGTATGGTAAAAAGATTTTCCGGATTAGGTGGTGATCCTCATGGTTTATCAACTGGTAGAGCTTTTGTTCGTCCCACTGGTGGTTCTGCTTGTCAATTAATTCAGCGACTTTAGTGTTTGGGTCCGTTGAAGGGAGGAGTCCTGGGGGTCGCGGTGGGTTTGTAGGTATCCAAGGATCATCCAGCTTAGTAGTTTGCCCATTTCCGATGCTTCTTTGGGTTCCACTTTCAAGGAGTTCTCTGCCAAATCTCAGTGAGTTCCATCCGTATGAGGGCTGCGGTCCTTGAGTGGCGGTAAAGAAAGTACCTTCTTTAAAATATCTAGCCTTGAGGAGTCGATAAATAAGTGATTGTGGTCTTTGGATTATTTTACAAGCCTGGTTCGCTAATAGTGCTTGATTAAATAGATGTAAGTCTCGGAATCCAAGGCCGCCCTCTTTCTTTGATGTAACAAGCTTTTTCCACGCTATCCACGAGATTTTCTTTTTTTTTTGTGTTGATCCCCACCAGAATCTTGCTAGCAGACTATCTATTTCCGAGCATAGTTCCTTTGGCAATTGGAAGCAGTTCATTGAGTACACGGGCATTGCATATGCTACTGCTTTGATTAATATTTCTTTCCCTGCTGCGGATAAGAATTTTGTTTGCCAACCTTCAATGCGTCTTTTGAGTTGATCATGTATGTATTGGAGCATCTCTTTCTTTTTTCCAGCAAATTGTTCCGGAAGTCCCAAATATTTCCCTCCTCCGCCTATATTTGGTATTTGTAGTATACGCATGATGCTCTCTCTTGTGTGCTGGTACACTCTTGATCCGAATGTGATTGAGGATTTATCGAAATTTATTATCTGACCTGAAGCTTCCCCGTATTCTTTGAATATCCTTAGGAGATTTGAACTGTTTTTGTGATCC